GAAAGCTCATGCTCCTAGACGTCTGTTAGTCTATAAGGTGCCACAGGACTCTTTGCTGCTTTTACAGCTCCTGATGGAGTCAGCAGGCTCAGTGTAGGTCAGAATTCAGAGGCATTTTCATGTGTATCTTGTCCCACTGTCCAGGGGTCTAGGGTCTCAAACGTGGGCTGTAATGCAAGACTGTCCCATCCATGTGATCCCACCGAGGACACCTCAGGTTTAGCCTGTTTGTGTTTTAGTCTCTCCATATGGAAAATGAGAGGACATATAATACCTACCGCCACCAGTGCGTGAGTCAGGATGAATTAGCTCATGTTTGTAATGTGCGTTAGGACCACCACATTAAAGGTGCTGCAGAAGTGTCTCGTTTTCTTGTGAGCTCTTCAGAGCAGGTTGTTTTGAGACTCTCCGTTGTAAATCCAGAACTTCACCAGTCCACTCCTGAATCAAACGAGAGGCCGGATCTTTAACTGGGGGAGCTCCATTGATCTTTACAGGGTTCCACCTGTTTATACAAGCTGAGGATCTGGCCTGAAGTGTTGCAGTTGATTAAGTCCAAGTGACTGTCAGTGCCCAAAGCAAAGGACTCCCAGACCTGCCAAAGCCTGACATTTTAACCTGCCCTGTGATATCCCTGCCATTTGGGTATGTGCTTCTCCCCCCTATGGCAATTGAAGCCAAAACGAATGGGCTGAGCATAAATACAGCTTGGTGTGGTTATTGGGATGAAAGGTCTTGACTCCCCATTGCTGAAATCTTTCGATCTTTCTTCTCTCCCCTTCTTTCTCCTATAGCTGCTTATCCTGCTGCTTATGGCCAGATTAGCCAAGCGTTTCCACAGCCGCCTCCCATGATCCCACAGCAACAGAGAGAAGGTAAGTAAACAGGCTGTTCTCTGTTCCATACCTAGCAAGTCACCCCTATTGCATTGTATTCCCCCAACCCCACAGTTACATAGAGCCCAGGAAATGCCTCATCACTTTGGACCTTCTCCTCATCCGCTCTCCATCTGTTGTGTAACATCATCAGGAACCTATGGAAAAGTTCATACTTGTGGGGTATGTGCTTAGGTCCTCTCTGGGCTGCAGCCACTAGAGGGCAGCATAATTCAGAAGGTTTGATTACGTTGCATATGGTAAAGGCCAGCAGTGGCGGATCAAGAAAAGTGTTCCTTGAAAAGTCCTGTTTTGTCCAAATCAAAAACGATTCATGGGAATGTGCCAATTCTGACAAAATTTGAAACATTTCATTTCAATGGTGTCAAAACATTTGGTATCAATGATGTCGTTCTGCTTCATTCCGTGTCCACGTGCATTCTACATTAAAATGTTAATTTTAATCTTTCATTTTATATATCACATTTAACATTGTCTATAACATACACCGGTGAATATTTTAACATAATATGAAAGTCAAAACAAAACAAATCGAAATGACAATATCAAAATGAAACATTTTGATCGTCCCAAATGTAAGTTCTTTGGCATTTTCATTTCATGAGAACATTTGACATGGATGCATTTGGGGGAGCATTGCAATCAGGCAGTTCTGAACTATATGCAATTTCCACTGCGGCAGGCCCTACAAGTGGAATTTATATGAGGAGAGGAGGTTTCCATACTGAAGAAAATATTGGCATATAATGTGGAATCCCTTCATCTCCCACCTATGTCCTATTGCTTTTCCTTTTGCCTGGATCATGGATATTTCTGCTTAAAGTGCATTGATGGTCATAAGAGTGACTGTATCTAAATGTCAGCATCTCTACTCCCTGAGGGGCTGATTCGCCTCTCACTTACACAGAGGTAAATTAAGAATACGTTCTTTGAAGTCCCTGGAGTTACACCAATGTGAGATCAGAATCACACCTTCTGTGTCTTTGAGTCACATCGGCTCGTTTAGGTTTTAGTACAGCAAAGCCGGGGCAACTATGGGAGAGTGAACTTGATTCTGTCCTGCTTTGTAAAATATCATTAACACTGCCAGGAAAGAGCTAGTCATGGAACTGACTTGCAACCTCACTGAATTCAATGGGAAAGACTGGGGTGTAAGGTCTCAGATAGTATTCATAGAATCATAGACATAAAGGGCTGGAAGGGACTTCAAGAGGTCATCTAGTCCAGGCCCCCGTGTCGAAACCTGGCAAGTATTTGTCTAACTTGTTCTTAAAAACCTCCAATGACAGGAAATCCACAGCCTCCCTTGGAAGCCTATTCCAGAGCTTAACTACGCTTACCGTTAGAAAGTTTTCTTAATGTTTAACCTAAATCTTGCTTTCTCCAGATTAAGCCCATTACTTCTTGTCCTACCTTCAGTGGACACGAAGAACAATTAATCACCATCCTCTTTATAACAGCCCTTAACAGATTTGAAGACTGTTATCAGATTGCCCCCTCCGTCTGCTTTTCTCAAGACTAAACATACCCAGTTTTTTTAACTTTTCCTCATAGATCAGGTTTTCTAAACCTTTTATTATTTTTGTTGTCCTCTTCTGGACTCTCTCCAACGTATCCACATCTTTCCTAGCAGCCCAGAGCTAGACACAGCACTCCAGCTGAGACCTCACCAGTGCTGAGTGGAGCCGGACAATTATCTCCCATGACTTACGTATGACACTCCTGTTAATACACCCAGAATGATATTCATCTTTTTTGCAACCCATTGTTGGCTTCTATGCAATTTGTAATCTACTGTCTCCCCCAAGCCCTTTTCAGCAGTGCTACCGTCTAGCCAGTTGTTCCCCATTTTGCATCCGTGCACTTGCTTTTTCCTTCCTAAGTGTAATACTTTGCACTTATGTTTACTGAATTTCATCTTGTTGATTTCAGACTAATCATCCAATTTGTCGAGGTAATTTTGAATTCTAATCCTGTCCTCCAAAGTAATTGCAACCCATCCCATCTTGGTATCATCTGCAAATGTTACAAGCATATTCTTCAAGCCATTATCCAAGTCATTAAAGAAAATATTGGCTAGCACAGGTCCTAGGAGGGACCCCTGCGGGATTCCACCAGATTTACCCTCCCAGTATGACAGTGAGCCATTGACAGTTACTCTGTGGCCCTAAACTCTCAGTGCAACTACACAGGTCTCCAGGTATTTTTTGTATTCAGTGGAGAGCCAGTGCGGAGAAAAGAGCATTGGGTGCTCTTCTGTCCGCACTGGCTCTCCACTGAATACAAAGTCCAACTCAAGCTCTTTGTCCTGATATTCAAAGCCCTCCATGACAGTGGCCTTAACTAATGGAGAGATCTCCTCTCTCTCTCTCTCTCTCTCTCTCTCTCTCTCTCTCTCTCTCTCT